TTTTTCACTTGTATTTCATGTTTCAGGATTTTTGGACAACTTTGATTTTTTCGCAAAGCTCTCGGTTGAAAAGTTCGAAAAAATCAAAGTTGTCCAAAAATCCTGAAACATGAAATACAAATGAAAAATCGCTATGTTTTATTGAAAATTCAATATCTCAAGAAAGAAAAAAATTTCGAAAAAAGGATAAGTACCTTTGTTCTGTGCTTGAAGGCGGATCGAATGGCGTCATTTTCTTCACGGAAAACATGCACTTGGAAGCCGTGGTCAGCGTTAAATTCTGCATCGAATGATGTATATTTGAGCTACAAAAAAAAAATAGTGTTGTAACCTTGAATTTGGAGCGTCTTGACAATAATACCGACATCTGCATTACTGGCGATACGTCATGCAACAGGAATAATGACACTGAATACATAGAAAAATTTCTAAACAAAGTGACTACTATCACCTTTTTAGCTCAAACGGTCAATCAAGAAACCCAGCCGTTTGTCATCATCACGTCCCTCCAACTCGTCTAAAAAGTCATTTGCATGATCCTCTAACAACATTCTTGTCTCACGGTTATATTTATCAAGCAAAATTTCATCTTCGAACCATACTTGCCAACGATGATAATTTCTATTACCCAAGATAGAATCCATTTGATAATCAACATTATTTTGTTGAATCTCGAAGAGATTTTTTAATACAAGTTTATTATTACGCAACCAAAAGCAAGAGTGGCGATTCGCAGTTGGCCGCCTTAAAGGAGCGTGAATATAATCGCCAGTGCCTAAAGACAAGACAAATATATTTTGATTTTGATGACCATAGCGCAATGCTTCGCTAAAGGCGGCCATTGTTGGATTATTCATTTGAACACCTCCATCCACATAAGCCGAATAGTTGAATGCATGCGGTCTAAAAAAGGTTGGAGCTGCTGTTGTACTCATTAGAATGTCAACAATACGTGTAGGACGAACATTGCCTGTACGCGAGTCATAACGAGTAAACAGATGAGTATGAGTGCGATCGGCTAGTACAGCTGGCACAACTATATCAGTTAGGCAATTACAAATTAAATTATTGCCGAAATAGTGATTGAACAGGCTTTGACGACCGGTTCTAGCATATTTCGAGGATTGTGTCGCCCAACGATAGAGTAAACGACGACGAGTAGCAGGAACAAAAATTTCGGGTGCACGATTTACATATAGATCAACTATATCTTTGGCTTCATATGCCGGTTGTGGCAGCCTCAAATTGTTATGCACAGAAAGACCACAAGCAATTATGGCACCTGTTGATGTGCCAGCCATCATTTGAAATATGTCTGAAATGGAACGATTGGTCCGTTTTTCAATTTCTCTTAGCCAGATAGCTGGTATAAGACCCCTAAAGCCTCCACCGTCAATAGACAAAATATTGTAAGTGTTCTGATGTTGGTGCGCTAATCGGCGAGTCCAGTCATACTGTTGACGTTCAAGTGATTGTTTCTTTTTTTCCTCTAGCACTTCTTCTAGTCTTCCTGCACTAAATAATGCATTAGTAAATTTGTTTTCTATACGTGTATTCTGTATTTGTTGTCTGTATTCAGTTAATCTCCTCTGTCTTAATTCCATTAATGTTTGTTGTCTCACTACTCCTTGATGACCCGGTTCAAGTTCCAAACATTCTTTCACGGCTTTTACTGCTTTACCAATTTGCCATGTTTTTCTATATGCTATAGCTAATAGATACCACAATTCAGACGTTGACTTTTTACGACTTAACTTTTCCAATTGTGTTATTGCATAGGTGTATTTACTTAGTTTTACGAGACATCTACAATAACCAAGTAAAGCTAAATTGATGCGCGTACTATCCATTCTTAGTTTGCTCGCCGTCCGATAATGCCAACAAGCATATTGCCAGGTTCCAAGACTATTATTTTGTTCAGGTCTGCGCTGATAATAACAAGCTAATTCAAAATACAACAGAGCGTCCTTCGGATAACGGTCAAGTTCACGATGAATATCATAAAGATATGAATTAGATGAAATACAAAGAGCTATTATGTTATTCTCATATACCACAGTATATATAATTTTGAGCTGATGACCGATCTGATCGTCTTCTTTCTTGTTGTCTGCCTCGTTGTCAGAGCCGACATCCTCCATCTCTTCTCCGCCGTTATTATCGACTTTAAACACGTAGTGGTGTTCCGAATCTTCTTCGACAGTACATAGTTGAAATTTTACTTTAAATCTTAAACTTAATTTACGTAAATCGCGTACATAAAAAAGTCGACACACAGTTAAGTCGTCTCCGCGTTTCTGTAGTGCACCACGCAATAGCTGATTTAATACTTCAGATTCATTGATATTATTATCGTGAATAAGTTCTGGACGTTCACAGTCAACTAATGTATCATCAGTTTTTATCTTACGAATATCTAATATATTAAATGGAATTTCAAGTGGATGAATGATAGGTTCATCTGGGATAGCGAATGGTGTTTCGTCCTCGTTGTCGTTTTGAGACAAGGACATTCCAGAATGACGAGTACTTAGTAAAATTGTATTCACTTTACAATGGGTGTACCTGACGGATGAAAAAAGAAGAGATTGCCAGATATCAAATCCAGAATAAATGTTCAACTCAAATTACACAGTTAGATAGTCCAAAGTGTCCTCCATTAATTTACGCAAATCCGAGGTCACTAGCTATCATGGTCCTCGGATAGCATAGGTTTACTGGGATCTACCAATCTCAGTCCGGTTAGCTCTGATAACATTAAAACCAACTCCAGACACAGGTTTTTGGCGACGCTGAGTCTAGTGGTAATGTTTGTTTTCAGAACAAAATTGAAGCAAAAAACCCATAGCAGCTGAAATAACCCATTTGTAGCTACATTCACCG